ATATTATCTGGGCCAACGGGGGCAACAGCCCGTCCCTACGGGACGGACTGTTGCCCCCCTCGTGCAAATTTTCTGGAATTTGCACTGATTTCTGTCACTTCCAGGAAGTTATTTGAAGCCCATGGTTAAGAGGTGAGGGTGGTTAGTCCTGAAGAGCGAGATTGTTATTTTTACACTAAAAGTATCAGGGCTTTAAGCAAATTAAGTTTTAAAAGATTGCCTGCAATGTGCTGGACTTGACTTAAGATTTCAGGCAACCCGGTTTTCAAAACTCCAGGTAGACTTACAGTTGAAACATACAGTATGCCAAAAAAATCTCGATTTGCTTGAACAGGGGCCGCGAGGAATCGGTAGGTAATGATGACGTTTCTATTGTTTGCGCCCGCAATTACGAAATGGTTAGGATGACGTAAAGACAGAAAATCCCGAAGGGACCCCTTAGGTAGATTTTGTGACATTTATTGTGCAGTCATACTTCGATACTCTTTTGCATTACGTGTAATCAGAGACATTCTGTGGAGCAGTTGTTTTGAAAGTTATGGACCAAAAGACACTCGTTAAGCGCAGATGAAGTTATAAGGTGCGTATAACTGTGTATATATATAAAAACTTTGAGAGTTTGCTAGACACGAGTTCACAAATCTTTGATTGAAAACTTTGCCAGACACTGTAGTTCAACTGTAAATATTCGAGAGACTTACTAGAGTAACGTTTACGCCAAATGATCAAGTTTCTCCTTTTACGTGTCGTTTATTCCTCTTTAAAAATACACGCTAATAACACCAGTTTTATCCATAAGAATTGTTTTGGGCTGTTTTTATCTGATCGTTTTCTATTTTGAGAATGTGTCGTAACTGTGTCTGTAGCATCACGTGTATGTCAATTTGTACCACGTGACCATGCGAGTTTCTCCATTACTTGTCGTTTATTGTTCATTATTTCTACGCATGAATTAGTACTTTCACACAATTTTTTATCCATAAGAATTGTTTTGAGCTGTTTTTTCCTGCTCATTTTCTACTTTGAGAAATTCTGAACTTGAATCTGACGTTTGCCGTGTACGGGAAGCTGAAACTCTCTTCTATCTCACCATCAAGGCAACCGCCATTGATGTCCCCGAAACCAAAGCAATCAAAAATCAGAAATAGGAACAATTTTGGACTGTATTTGTATTTTTCAAATCGTATACATGCAGCAATCCTACACTGTACGAGCGTAGCAAGGTTCGATTACCAGAGTCCGCTAGAGCGCTGGAAATATCAATTCACCATTGTCACATGGACCATAATGAACCTTGTTTACCTTGCAAAATTTGCATAACTTTTTTTTCCCGTGAATTTCTCAGTCGTTCCAAGAGAAAACGAAGACAATGGTTATGCCAAATTTTGGGGGTAAACAAGGTACATTATGGTCTATGTGAAAATGGAGAATAGAACCTAATAGGTAGAGACAATACTGAATAAGCAGTGTCATGTCCATTTCCGGCTGTAACAAATGATAATTTGTAGCGTAGCCACCTGTTGATAGTGTTTTATTTACTTATTTTTTTAAAAATTTAATTTCGTGCATTGTAAAGATGTATGCTCTCGGAAATAGAATGCCTATCAAATATAACTACGACTTAATTTGTAAAACTGTTAAAACTTTTAAAAATGAGAAAAAGAATGAATTGTACAAAATAGATACTGATAAGGGCACGAAATAAAAAGCGAATGTATACGACAGATAAATTTATAGGTAAACAAAGCAAAGCGAATGATCCGACTTGGATTTCGAAATGCAAATCTCATCTTTTGAAATATCTTCTCTAAATTACCTCTTATTTTCAGTACAATTATCATATTTTACTATCAGTCTATGGCATTGCTCGTCGATTTAGTAGCGATGTGTGCGATTGCACTTAAATATAATCGAGTAAAACTAGAAATTATCAGCGGCTTTTAGAAATTTTCACACATTACTCACTTCATTAATTTCGCTTTGTTTACAGAATAAACGGCTATTATAAATTTTCCTTTTCTTCTAACAATAAGATAAGCTTAATCGGACCTAAGCACCGTCTGTGGTTGCGGAAACGAAATCCATTTGAAGCTATTCCCTCAATGATCCAGCGCAGGTACGGAACTGCGAGTCGTAATTCAACCCGAATTCAATACCGAAAGCCACTCTGGTGAGTCAATGCTACAAGAAACCAGCCCTGCTCTAACTATTTTTCGGATTCCGTCCGCCGGTTTTGGCTTGTATTAAAACCCTCTTATAAACTACCGTCTGGCGTGCAAAAATCGAGTCGCAAAAACGAGATCAATGTTTCAACAATCTCGCACAAATTCATCTCTGTACGGTTTTTCAAGCCTGAGTTATTCGTAGAGGTATTTCAGCCCAAGTAACAATAGAAGTTTCTATCAGTATGATGACGCCATGATCGCGTTGTTTCTTAGTTTACTAATGAAACCGATTAATCATCAATCGACACTAAATAAAAGTTAAGAGAGTGGTTAAATAGAGACTGAATCCGGTCAAATGATAAGCGATCTGATCATTTTATACCGACTTCGGAACTGAGCCACCATTTTAAATTTCGAGCAACGCGTAGACCTAATAGAAATTCAAACGTGATTCCTAAACAAAAAAATCATATTGACCTGAAAATTGTTAAAACGATAAGTTCCCAGGAAGTCTTATTCCTTCAGTATTGTATTATGAAACGTAAAAATCAGGCCAAGGCTGTTCAAACGTTGGATAGCGCTATCCAGCGGATAAATCACTATCCTGCGGATAAATCACTATCCTGCGGATAAATATTGGAGAAACTAATTGCGCTATCCAGTGGATAGAGATTTATCCAGCGGATGGCGTTATCCACCTTTTGAACAACTGGGGCCAGAAGGATTGGTGAGTATAAAATATGATGCAAACCATGCAGGGAGGATTTGTAAATGTCCAAAGTTCAGTTTACCACTGTAACACTTCGCTAAGGTAAATGATGGGATTACTAGAGGATAGCTAAAATATCATAAAAAAGAAAGTTGGATGCAAATATCACAAGTGCTTAACTAAAGTCTACGAATCTGATAAGAGAGCGTCTAATCGCCCAGTAATTTTGAATTTTCTCGGCTGCCCGTATGCAAATGTTAGTGAAATGGAATAGTCGCGATTATCAGTGATAAACCATGTTTTTAAGCAGGAAAAATAATTTACTTTATGAGCCAAATGAGACTTTCTTGCCAGAAATTTAATTTCCTTTAAACTCCTACAGTGTTTCCCCTATTTTTTTAAAAGGCGAAGTTAAACTGCTGTCGTAATTTCGTTTTTGTCTAGATATTTGTTAACTTTTACTGTTTAAGTGATCCTGAATTATACGCCATCTTCTTTATGCTCTTGTACCCCCAGGGACGTCAAAAACCTCACATGTCTACCCCGACTAAGTACATGTATCTTTAACAACATTACATATCAGCCCTTTTCTTCTCCTTAACCCTGTATCTCACTGCAACCCTCCAAGGCAATTTTTTTCATTGTGCTGAACGTGTAATATTTTCGCGTTAAACCTTTGCCACCTATTCCTAAGAGGTACAATGACGACCAGGGTAGATTTTCCCTCATTGGAAGCAAGATGTCTACCGAGCACCAACTCCGTGTACACTTCTTCTCGATTTTCTTCACGTTTGCTCTCATTTACCAAGAAATTGAAGGTATGAACGATAGCGAAATTGATGTTTTTATGTTAAGTGAAGAACTGTTTTATACATACATGCTTGTAAAATTTTGATTTAGTGCTGAAGAACTGTAAGTTACTAGAAGGGTTTGATTTCACGAAGGAAGAAGCATTGTTCACAAGTAGTTACTTTTTAATTAACCCAGTATCTTTATGGACAAAATATATTGCCACAATAGTGGCACAGTAGCACTTACTAGTTTGTTCTGATTTCCACCACAGGACTCAGCTTCAAAGCAGGAAAATTCAATGTGACCACAACTTTGAGTCTGTTTGCCTGTAAGAATGTTTCTTTTGAGGAGCCTTTTCACGGTGGACAAGAAATTAAAATCTTCATTTCTAAAAGCCATGCAACGGAAGGTTCTACTCGAGCTCGTGAAAATGGCGCAGCAATTTGGGCGGAATCTGTGAATAACAAGGCATTTACTGTCTGTGTTTTGGAGTACGGAGATGGCTCAAGTGGCGCTTTGCAAGTGAACTCGATGGCGCTGCAATCTGTACCTGCTGGCGCTCAACTAGGCACATCTTCTTTAAACGCCTGGACTACTGGAACAAAGTGTAAAAGAATCGCTTTTGAAAAGGTTCGATTAGTTCAGAGTGTTTGACAACGTTGTTGTTGTTGCTATGCAGGTGGTGTGACGTCTTTTCTTACTATTTCCTGTTATGTCATATTTCTTGAAGAGATGAAAAGTTTGATTGATAGACTGGGATAAACTCAACAAAATAATGTCATTTTTATCAGTTACCGTGACGTCATTAATGTGGCGGCCATATTGGCTGCCATCTTGAATTTTGTTTAAAATTCGTTTTTTGCTAAAATTTGTCTTAATGACATTAAATTTGAAAATTAAGTTTGATTAGTATGCTATAATCAAATATTTTTCTTTTTTTGGAACTATGCTATGTGCAATTTTTTTATAAAGAAAGTAACGCGCATTTTTCTTAGAAGTGGCTAGCCTTATGCTTTTTATGACGTCATATCTTGCTACCATAGCAACCTTCCATGACCAAATTTGAAAGGAATTTGCCCTAGGCATAAAATGAGCAGTTGCTAAAAAGAAAAGGCCTTGGCTGAAAATCCGTTTTTGAAAATATTGGGCAAAACCTGTGCGCTTCTACCAATTCAATTGATGTTAAATTTCAAGTTCTAAATCTTCAATCTCTTTCTTGTTCTTAATTTGTTTTGACAGAGAAGAACAAATTAAGAACAAGAAGGAGATTAGAATGAAGAAAAAGAAATAGAGGAGAAAAGATAGGGCTTTAAAGGAGCAGAAAGCCGAGTAAACTGAAGCAGCTCAAGAAGAAAATATATAGAAAATTAGATCAAGAAAATAAAACAACTTTTGAGAAACAAGTGGGGCAAGTAAATATATTACTTAAAGTAACAGACTAATAAAAAGATGAGAAATAAATCAAGAGTTGAAGAAACTGAAAAAAAGAGCAGTGAACTTATAGTTTATGTCCGAGTTAAATAAACTTGAAGGTAGATTTATTAACAAAGGATGCTGGGAAATAAAGAAGGAAGTAATAGAAGGGTTTAAAAAGTAAAACAAAAAACAAAAAAACACTGAAACAAATTTTGGTTTGGTTTTCTTGATTGTTTTGTTGGTTTTTTTATGTCTGTTTTCATGATTTTCGTATCTTGTTTCTTTCTGACTACTAAAAATGGCCAAAGAAAAATGATTACAAAAACATTCAACTTTCATTTGTAAAATCCTAAGAAATATTTGATTAATCTATACAAGTTTATCATAAAAAAGTTCCTTTGAAATAGTGACACTTCAGTGCTTCGTCCACAAATTTAAGAGTCAGAGTATGAAAATATCACGCCATAATGTGGTCTAGGAATAAAGGGGTTAATTGTTTTTTTAAGTACTTATTTCATTTAACACTCAGCAACAGTGCTGGTTTCCATGGTAGAACTTATAGCTTCTCTCCTTTTTTATTTTTTTTCCCTTGAAAATATTTTATGGTTAATATCATTTGTTCATATTTTTCCTCTTTCAGCGTTTCCAGGCTCTTCCAAATATCTTCGTCACTGTTCGTCACCAGGTTCTTGAAAGACCTCAAGACGCTTTGGCCCTGTGGGTAGATGACTTGCGCAAGGACAGTTTTAAACTCTGCGCCAGAGAAATTAAGAGTTTTGATGGAATTCACAAAGATATCAAAGTCGTAAGTAATAATCCAGATAATTGCTTTCTTCGAAAACTAATTGTTTTGTTAGTAGTGGTGTCTTTTGGAAATAAGTAGAAATGCGCGAACTCGTGACCACAGAATAAATGTTATGCTCTGTTATGTTGGTATTTTCATTAACACTAATATAGATTGTTTTTCGCACAAAACAGTAGGCAAACTCTACAATAGCTTATTCAAAATTGCCACGGCTCAGTATCGTCATACCTTGTAACCGTAGCAAATTTTTGCAACAAAATTTGTAAAAATGTGCCTGAGGAGGAAATGAACGTTTAATGAAAACGTTGATACTCGATGATTTTTCTCTCTCATCAATCCCCCACTCTCCTTCTTGTGCATTTGAGAGCAAAGCAAAAATTAAATAAGTGGCGGTGTTGTGTACCCTGGCTTTGCTTTCTTCTTGGTTTGAAAGCGTAATGACAGTAAGAACAAGTGTTACATTTATAGGCTCAAAAATTCTCGCTTCATATCTTTACCTCTTCCCTGCAGGATTGGATGGCTTTTACCAAATTGAACACTGACAATTTCACCTTGACTGATAGTCTCGTGTTTACAAACAGCAACTCACCAACAAACAAACAGGACAACAACGCTATTTGCCAGGTAGTGCCATTTGACTCGTGTTTTAAGGCTTGCCTCAACCAATTTGTGGGCTTTAATTTCAAGTAGAAAGATTTTTCTCATCTTCACTTGGTTAGCAGTTTTCTATTCACGCTTGATTCTATTTGATTCGGTTTTTCATTGTCTGTCTAAGTCACGTGACTAGCATTGGCCTTCTAACCGTCAAAATGTTTCACCGAAAATGGGGAATACTTAGTCAAACTGTATTCTCCTTATTTTATCGTTTTTTTCTATGGCTTCTAGCCAAAGCGTTAATAGAGTGCCAGCTTTTAATTATGCCCATGCATGTTTTGTCGGAAAAACGGCAATTAAGAGTCAGGTCACGTGACTTAACCAACATACTAGAAACTGATAAGGTATAGAATGAATACCGTCTTAAAAGGCAGAATCGTGTTAACAACCATCTTGAGACCATTTTGACGTCTAAAATTTTCGAATGTTTGATATGTAAATCTATCCAATTTAAAGAAACACGTTTTGTGAAGTCATCAGGAGCGGAAAATTACGTGACGCTATATAACACTTCTGTACGATCAAATAAGTCATTAAAAATTAAAATTAAATTAAAACTCTACTGGGGGTCCTCTTTATTTAACAAATCCCAGCCTCGATGCACTCAAGTATGGCGTTCAGCATTGAACACTGCTGTTTTCTTCTTTCCTCTACTTGTTTCTGTTATTCCAATTATAGCACACTAGATAATATCTATGAATGTATTGTATCCTTTCGAAAGAAAAAGCTCCATTTCCCACCTGTAATTAGTTGGTAGGAGGAATGAGAAAATGGATGTTGAGGTAGTTTTTCTTGGAAAGTGACTACCTATTTCTTATGCTTTTTTTTTGTTCTTGGTTTCAGAAAGTCAAATTCCAGGATACTTTTTATGCCCCTCCGGTTGTAGTGGTGTCTCCAAGACTTGGTTACAATAACAACAAATCACGTTTATCAGGATCCGCACCATGTAACTTAGTTACTGCCTGGGTTGAGGTCAGAAACATATAGTCTGCCTATTCTTCCTGTGGTTCTAATAGCGAGAATTTCAAAGTAAAGAAATGTTATTGATATCGTTGTCCTTATACTCACGTTAAAAACTTAGATTTTTCCAACGACGTGTAGCGGGGTTTGTAAAGCGAATGAGGGCTATTTAACTGGTTTCTCATTTTTATGTAATTATGGCAAATAGCCTTCCTAAATGATGGTACACTAAGCTATTTTTACGAATAATAAAACCAGGCTTTCCGCAAAGGAAACACTCATAAGAACTTTTGAGCAGACTTGTGCGTTGGAAACTGATCTTTTTTATAGTTTTGTATTCGTTTTGTTCTTTAAAACAAAGTTGTAAGATCTAACAGGTTCTTAACAATTCAGTATACGCGATTTCTTACTCTTCTTGCACTAACCCTTAGTTTTAACCATCAATAAATCAAAAGACAGTTGAAATTTGAAAAAAAATATTGTATGACTTTTTTTTGTTTTACTGACATACAATGAACAGGTTTACTCTAGTACAACAAAATGCTATATTTTGTGAAATGTGAACTTAAAGTATTTCTTTCGCTATCTTGGAATATGCTTAGAATACATCTACAAACGAAACAGAAATGTGTATGAGAAGCTACAACAATGACGCCAACGATAAGGATATCATAAAGGTCGATTATATGGTAATTGGAGGTACGTAAGAAATTACGTAACGTAAAATGAGGGAACTGCAATGACTTTTATCTGTAGACAATCACAGTGCTCTCCTGACAATTATACATAATAGTGACTAACTGTACAACACAAAAATGTATATGTTTTTATCAAATTTTATCCTAAATTAAACTTCTTTTCCTTTGTTTCAAATCATTCAGATTATACATTACCAGGCCTCAAAACAAAAGAAAGTGAGATTAAAAGCTAGGTTAAAATTCAGCAATATACGACATATATGGAAGGGCTCATGTGCTTTAGGCTGTGGTCACATTATACCGGATAACGAAAAGCTATCCGGTACAGTGAGAACACCTACATGTATCCAACATGTGACCCTACACTTTAGAGATCGGCGCGGCACAGCCTCTCTTTGTCACAGAAATCACGCCGCCACAACCGTTTTTTTTGTGTGAACAGAAGCCCAACCAATATGGTTTCTTGGCGGCGAAAAATCTATCCGGTATGGTGTGATCATAGCCTTAACTTTTATCCACTTCCCTGATAACTCAAAATTCCAGGCTGTTTTATCTATTGACGAAATCGAAATGAATGAATCTGAAATGATGCCCTCTGATTCCATCACTTGTATGTTTGTCTTTTAGACTTGGATCCTTGTATAGATGTAACATGTCATTATCACAGTCTGTGTAAGGCTTTTGGACCTAATGATGCAAGCTGTGTGTGTATTGACCGCTGCCCAACTTACAAAGAACCCGTATGTTCATCCAATGGCACAACATACGACAACAAATGTCTGTTTGAACAGGAAGTTTGTCTCAATCGACTAAACTTTACCGTACAACATCCTGGCAGTTGTGAAGGTCAGCAGTTTTGTTGCCTCTTTGTGGTGGTCAACGTGCACCTTTTCACCGAATCCTGTTAACCTTGTTGGACTGATAGTAAAATTTTGCTTTACTTTATTTCCGTTTACTTTGCCATTCTTTTTGGGGAAAAGTTGTTGCGTCAACAAGGGATTTAATTTTGTTACTTTAAGCCTATAACTTGTCTTTGCAACTCCTTTTTAGGATTTCCTCTTCAGCGTGGTCGCCTNCCAACTTACAAAGAACCCGTATGTTCATCCAATGGCACAACATACGACAACAAATGTCTGTTTGAACAGGAAGTTTGTCTCAATCGACTAAACTTTACCGTACAACATCCTGGCAGTTGTGAAGGTCAGCAGTTTTGTTGCCTCTTTGTGGTGGTCAACGTGCACCTTTTCACCGAATCCTGTTAACCTTGTTGGACTGATAGTAAAATTTTGCTTTACTTTATTTCCGTTTACTTTGCCATTCTTTTTGGGGAAAAGTTGTTGCGTCAACAAGGGATTTAATTTTGTTACTTTAAGCCTATAACTTGTCTTTGCAACTCCTTTTTAGGATTTCCTCTTCAGCGTGGTCGCCTTCACATGGCCCATATTCCATCTCTGGGTTACTCTCACTGTCAAGTAATTCCTTTCGAGCCTTTTGTGTTTTATCCTGACAAATCCATTGAAGTGCAGATAACTGTCAATCATATGGATACCAGTGACAAATCGTATGTCCATGACGCGGCGGTATCGTGGATTGAAAATGTCAATAACGACGGATTTGCTGCCTGTGTGATGGCAGCCGGATATAACGAACGAACGTCGTATGCTAACGTGACAGTTGATTGGATGGCATATCAAGGTGCTCCAGTGGGTGGCGTGACTGGTGAACTGCGCATGTCACAGTGGTGGACAGGGACGACTTGTGAAACTGTCAAATTTCCCACTGTAAGTTGCCCTAATCTATTTCTGATTGCCCTCTCTTTTTCAAAGCTTTTATGGTTATAAACATCATTCACAACAGTTGAACTATTAGAAGTATTGTCAAATTACAGTTTAGGGTGCTTTATAGTTGTGAAAAAATGCTAATCAATAAAATAGTAAATGAAATGAAATAAAATATAAAGTGATCGTTCTTTCACTAATTAACCACATTTACTTATGTAAATTCGAAGAAGTGAAACATAACGTTCAAACTGCCGCTTTTAATAACTTTGCTGAATTTATAAGGATCACCATTCTTTCTTTGAATTGTTAATAAAGTAGATAAATAAAGAAATAAAAAAATAAAGAAATAAAGAAGAACAGATGATAGAACTATTTTATCCGAATGACAATTTTTCTGTGCTGTTTGCAGAGGAAATTTTCAGTCAAACCTTCAGTCTTTGTGACGTCAAAACATTACAATCCAGGACTAAAACGTGACGCTGCAAGTGTATGGATTGAAGATGTAACAAAATCATCTTGTAAAGTTTGTATGAGAGAACTGCAGAATTATGCTGGATCGCACCAAGATATTTTTGTGGTAAGCATAATGTATCCTTAAGTGAATGTCAAACATGGATCATGCATTGGGCTGCCACGAACAACATCCTTAAAAAGAACAGCCCGTAGTTATCACAGGTCGAGCAACTCTGCAAATTCATCTTAGAATTAGTTATTAAAAGGCGCAAAATACTTTTCAAGATTCTTCACCTTCACACCTGAGGGCCTCCCAGGGGGGGTACATGTTCCCTTGTTCCCTAGAAAAAATTGGAGTTTTTCCCTTGTTCCCCAAAAATAAATTAAGATGCTCCCTGAAATTCACTTTCATCAAGTTCCCCTGTTCCCAGAAATTCTGTTGCATGTTCCCTTGATCCCCAGAAATATTAATTAATGTTCCCCAGAATTTCAATCATATTTCAGTTTTCGATGGTCAGTATTTTCGTAAGTTTTACCTCGTTAGTCATAGTAGAGATAATCCTCAGCAAAACGCCTCTTTCGTCTCCTTGATGAATGCCGCATCACTGAAAACACTGAAATATTACTGAACTGCACTAACCAGTAATGAATAATTGAAGACATTTTTTTGGTATCATAGTGCTACATTGTGTCTCGATTTTCAGTTCCACAAAATATTAAAATAAATACTTCTCATTTTAAAAGTGATATTTTCTCATTCATCTTATTGGATGGTTGTCTGAGAAATCAGGTTAACCTGTACAGTAGTATGAATAAAGTCAAGAAAGTCTCACTTGGAGATATTTTTATGTACGCTCATAAGTGTAGCATTGAAAAATCAGAGCATGACTTACCTATCATCTCCCTTTGATGACTAATAATCTGTGGTAAAGCAGTCTCCCACTGTTCTTGCGTGTCAATTTGAAAAATTCGTCCTTTAGGCCACTCAGGTAGTTTTGGCCGAAAGTCTTTTGAAGACAGCTGAATTTTGAACTTAACGATTTTTAGCATTGCACATTTCTCCTTGATGCCAAATCCTTTCTGCAAGCGGCTTAAAACTGACGTAAAATCTTTATCTGAAACAGTCCTCATACCGAGTTCAAAACACCATCTTTCTGTGGGCTTTTCATTTCCATTGTGATAAATTGCACCGGTAACCGGTACAATTACCGTTGTGTCTGATATATCCGCAGATTGAGCTTGAATTCCTTCTGTTTCCGTTGCCATTTATTAATAAATGGTTAGCGTTTCTAGACATGGAACACCAAAGAGAAAATTACCATAAAAATGGCGGTCCACCCGACGGAGTCTCTCCCAAGGTTCCCACGCGTTCTAGACTCGTCCCCAGTCGTCACCAGTTCACTTGTGAAGATTAGTCGCCAGGCTTAGTCGTCGGAAATGCGTGAAATTACAGAAACGTCGGAAATGTCTTCATAAACAGTTAATGGAAATCTCTCCAAAAGTTAGAAAATGGTCGAAAGTCAATGTTCCCTTGTTCCCGAATATCCCTCAACAGTTCCCTTGTTCCCTAAAAGTTATTTTGAAATATCCCTTGTTCCCTAAAAGTAAATGGCGATGTTCCCTTGTTCTCTAAAACCCCTGGGAGGCCCACACGCCTCATGCCCCTTTTTTTTTTTATTATTTATCTATGCATGCCGGTCGATTAACCAGAAATAACGTGTTGTTGATTTTATTTTCAGAATTGGCTGGCTTTTTCGGATCTTCCCAACCCTCCCTTTTCAGAACATAACTCGATCTACTTTGCAAATGATAAACCTCCCAACAGCAGACATTATAATGCATTTTGCAAGGTCAGTATCATAGTTTGAGTTTGAATCCAAATCTCAGTTAAAAACCTTTTTTACTATGGTGGTTATCAAATTTTACTCTCAGGCCATTAATGCGAAGGTGTTTAACCTGTAAAAGACTTAGCAATGTACAAGGACGTATTCATGGATATCATGATACTGACAATACCATAGGTCACACTTTCGCTTCTCCTATACGTCTCCTCTATGATGCGTTCATTTGAGTCTCTCCATTTGGTGTCTGTACTCAGGTACATTAAGGCATGGGTCCCCAATGATTCAGTCAAAAAGTGATGAGGGGTGGTCTATCTCTGAGCACTTAAGCAGTAAAAAGATGAGACTTTGTCAGATACATACATGTGTGGTTTCTGTCAATTAGGTGATTTTCAATTATGCAAATGTTGTCACGTGACTCCACACGGCCAGAAAAAATAAAGAGTCTTTAAACAAAAATGGCAACACTTTTTCGTGTGTCCTCAGTTATTTTTGCGGTTGCATAATGTTAAGGCCTTTTAGTATATCACTTCTGTGCTTGGCCTTTTTTGAATTTTTTACTGTTTTAGAAAATAAACGGCTTTTTCAACTAGACCCAGTCCCCCAAAGCAATTGTATCCCATCTTAACGCCTTCGATTTTAAATGTCTAAAAAAGGCCAAGCACAGAAGTGATTAAAAGGCCTTAACATTATGCAACCGGAAAAATAACTGAGGACACACGAAAAAGTGTTGCCGTTTCAAGAACAAGCTTTTTCAACCGATGGAGGTCACGTGACCTAATTTGCATAGTTTTAAAGCGCGAAATTGACACAAACTAAAAATGTGGGTAGCTGGCAAAGTTTTATGTCTCTTCATCTAAAGTTCTTAGATATAGACCACCCCCTCACTTTTGAAGAGAGCAAATTAAGGCAAATTGAGGCCCATGCCTAAATTTACCTGAGCATACACAATTTTAAGAATTAAATGTGAGTATTGTGAAAGGAGGCTGATAGAGCAAAAGCATAAAACCCACTTTGAATGGCAATTTCACGTTGTCAATGGTTTGAAGTTTAGTTGCAGCCTATTTTTCAAAAGGCTTCTTGTGCAGAGTGAAGTGAATTATCTTCCAAATAACGTTGGACTCAAAATCTCCTTCGTCTTACTGTATTTGTTTTACAGATTTGAGCTTCTCAGTTTGGAAGTGTACTTTATTTGGTGCCAGCCCAGTTTATTCTGAACGTCGATATGGCATGCTTTTCCCAAACTTTTAATTGCAAAGTTAAGAGTATATCAAAATCATCAGGAAAACAAAAAGACCCTCTTTTTCCAAGGTGGAGAAAAGCCTAATCAAAGCCGACATTCTCAAATTTCAGTTTATTTCCTTCTTACCTGTCTGTAGTCGAGGACACTTTCAAGTAGTATCTATGAACAGTAAAGTTAGATTGAGCCATGCAGACTCTTACCAGAGGATTATATAAATACAAAAAGAACCGTTGGATTTGGAAGTAGACGATATCTTGATAACAGTTCCCCTTCAAGTTGAAATATTTTCTTTATCTTTTATAGGAGGCAGTCTTTGCCAAAAGTTATAACACAACGCCACACGTCTTCGTTTCTGCTTCTCACTCGACAAAAGGAGGGAATAAAAGTCCAGTTCACAACAGCATAGCTGCCTGGGTGGAGGTTGGTAACTGGTGATTTCAGGGTATCAAATAGGCCATTTGGACAAAGAGGTCATGTGAAATCATTTTTATGGAAATGAAAGTTATGATTTTGCCTTCAAAAAACGAGTAGTGGGTAATATGTTAAACAAAATAAGAGTGATTTAGTTTTTTAAACCCGTGCCATTTTCTTAAAATGAGTAAGTTCGTAGCTGGTCAGGTGACCAAAATGTGATTTTGAAAACTATGAATTACCTCTTTCTGAACAGAAATTTTGCACCTAAACTTCAAGAAAATTGCTGAAAAGATGACGTGGTAACTTTAAAAGCACATCTGAGCGTAACTATCAAACGTTTAACAAGATACAAGCAAAAAGTAGTTTTAGCCGCAAGAGTATGCCCTCCAACATTGTGGCTAATACAAATCATACTACTTTGTTGAAAAATCAAAGTACCACAAAATTAATCTCCCTTAAATGCGTTTCCTCTCAAATGTCGGGTGTACGATAATTTTTATGCGCTCTGTCAATTTTTGTCATCAACAGGATTCCAAGTCATTGTCTAAAGGAAGCACTGGTCACGTGACCTCTTAGTGCAAGTGGCTTAATTTCATATTAAATTATGAGTGGTATAGTAGGGACCGAATTAACCTTTATTCGCGGACGAATCTCGTTACTCTGCCGAGGAATATATAGACACTGATGACGTTATGGCTTTTTATCTTTATTAATTGAATAGTAACGTGTAAATATAATAATAATAATCATAATCATAACATATTCAACCGGCGTAAGCCTGTCAGCGAAAGCTGTTATAAATGGAGAGAACAATACCAATTTCAGCACTAAAGCATACAGGCAACTACAACAAATAAAGATAAAAATAAGTAGTTAGAGCTGTATACTGGTGCTTGGGCACCAGTCAAAAAAGTGCCTTTCTTAGCAGATTCTGTGCGTACTGAAGGAATTGAATTATCTAAATATAGCTGAAATCTCATTAAGATAGGTCGTGTGCCATTTTAAGGTGGTTTAACCGGTTTTAGACTGGGGCTTTCTAGATCTTCTTAGGGAAACAAATGCGTTGCTTTTTGATTGGTTGACTAAAAACTAACTAAAGTATTTATTAGTTGATACATGCTGTCAAAGTAATAAGCACTAGCTCACCTTTGACATCAAATCACTGAGTACGTATCCAGTTCTATTTCCTGCTGCTTTCATTGCCCAACAATTTTTTTCAGTTTAGTTTCTCTGATTCTTGGCGAGCAAATCGAGCATATTGATGAGTTCGAAGCCCAACTAGCTCTTTCTAATAATAAACCAAATTTTCAACTTACCCCAGTTCCCCTCTTCTTCTCCACAATTCAGTTATCTCGCTTTACCTTCCTTCTATCATTTTCCTTTCACCACGAAAACCACCACCACAGCCTCCACAACCACATTTTTATTGTTTTCCCGAGTCCTCCTCCACCACCACCACCTTTTTATTGTTTTCCCTCTTCCTCCACCACCACCACTGCCACCACCAAATTTCTATTGTTTTCCCTCCCTCACCTCCCCATTTCTATTGTTTTCCCTTCTCCACCACCACAATGCACATTTTAGTACTAATGTTTAGTGCTTTTACATGTACAGTATATTAACAGGAAACGCTTTCGGGTTTGTGTCAAAGAACTGTATGAGGCAAAATACGACCCACTCTTCATATCCTACATAGTTTTGTCAGGTAAGAACTTTACTGCAAAAAGAACAGATTTTTACGGTACATCATTCCTTATCGTCTCTTATTTGTGATTCAATGCCGTGATTTATACGCGCAGATATCTGTCCAGATGGATGGGATTACTTCAATGGATACTGCTATTTAACGAGCTCTGTTTGCGCACCTTGGGTGACTGCAGTGTCCAACTGTTCAATGATGAACTCACATCTGGTAACAGTGCACAACCAAGAGGAAAATGTCTACATACAGCACCGTCACAATGGCGAGCGATCATGGATTGGCCTTAATGACCGACGCGTTGAGGGATCGTTTGTGTGGACAAACAAGGAAATAATCAGTTTTCAGTTCTGGGCTCCACAACAACCAAACAACTTGAAAAACGAAGACTGTGTTCACACCCTTGGGGTGAAAAATGGCTACTCTTGGAACGACGTGTCATGTGATAACTGCTATAACTATACTTGTGTTAAAGGCAAGTTTTGAGTTACCATAGAAATACTACAAATCCAAACCTTTAATTTGTTACCAATAACGAGGTTTGAAGATCACCTCTGCAGTAGTGAGTTTTTATGATAATTTTATCGCCGTGTTGTTGATCAGAATTTTATAAAGTCTGCGTTTCTATGTAGCTCTCTCCCAGGCAGTAGTCTAAATATTTAGGTAAAGGTAACCCCTGTACTTATCACTCTCAGTTACTCCAAAAAAGAAATTCTTCATGTGAATGATGATACCGCTACCAAGTAGGATCACGGTGATAAAATGGTCTTCATTGACTTTTCTTCTCTACTACAGAAATTGACGAATGCATCAGCGATTATCACAGGTGTGATCCAAACGCTGCTTGTCAGAATACCGTGGGCTCATACATTTGCACTTGCAAAGCTGGATTCTATGGAAACGGAAAAAAGTGCTTTGGTAACTATTACAGCCCTTATTATGTTTTCCTGACATAGCATCCTTCTGGGCTGGTTTTATATTTAGTGTGCTATATTTTGTTGTAAAACTTGTCCTTGGTTTAAACTTTTATTTCTTTTGTTTCATACACGTTTTCATACTTTGCTATCCCCTAAAACAAACCCATGGCTAAAATTAAGGCACAACGCATATTATTAGTTTTCTTAGTTAGGATTCACTGACTACATATGTTGTTCATATTCCCTCCGTCATAAGATATAGATGAATGCAGAAACAAATCCCATACCTGTGATGTGAATGCAGTTTGTAGCAATACTCAAGGGTCGTTCAACTGCACCTGCAAAGCCGGATACTCAGGAGATGGAAAAAAATGCATTGGTATACAGTATTCCTTATTAGCAAAATCCAACTAGTGGTTTTATTATCAATGCTGCGTTCTGATTGGTCGAGCTACTACTGGGCTATATGTTATAGCCCACTAGTAGCGAAAAGCGCCTGCTTGGAAAACCAAAACAGTGGCGGCTGAATCGCGTTTTGCTAGATAAAGTTGTTTTGTCTCGATATTTTTGGGCAAGTTTTCAAATCATTACTGTTTACTTAGTACTAACTGTTCTTTTCGGGTATAAGGTAAAAATTGTTTCCAACCTGCAGGCTATTCATTTAATAAGTATTTAAGAGGCAATTCTACGCCATTTAGAAAATTCTTCATTAATAAAGTAGAAGAGTAAAATCATGCAATTAAAAAAAATTGGAAAATTAATTGATATTGTCTATATTTTATACGCTGCTTAGTACGGAAAACTGGTTCAATTTACGAATATTTTGCCCAGTAGACAGTTAGGCCAAATTTGGTAGGTGTTTAGCGCCATTATTCCGGGCCTGAATTCCTTACACAGGTTCTTATACAGTGTCATGCTTGCAAAGCAGTATATTATAAGTTGTAAAGTAGCCATATCCTGCCAAATGTACCGAATTAACATGCAGTGCTAATGTCATGTCTTCCAGCGAAGAACTGTGCTGAACTGTACAAAGCTGGAAAACGATCAAGTGGAGTTTACAAGATCGACCCAGACGGTACTGGTGTCTTTGACGTGTACTGTGACCAAACAACAGCCGGTGGGGGATGGACAGTGTTCCAGAAGAGGCTGGATGGCTCGGTTAATTTCTACCGCGGCTGGAACGACTACAAAAAAGGGTTCGGAAATCTGAATGGCGAGTTTTGGCTCGGACTGGACAAAATTCACCGCCTGACAAAAACTAAAAGCAAACTTCGAGTGGATCTCGAGGACTTCAACAGAAACACGGCTTATGCTGAGTACAGCTACTTTGCTATAACAGACGAGAGAAGCAAATATAAGCTGAGTGTTGGAACTTACTCCGGTAATTATATTACTTACTGGATTAAAAATGGAGTTTGGGATAAAGCTTTAAAAAGGCCCCAGCTAATGCTTATGATTTTGGTGTTTAAGAAATAAAGACTCACCACAGAGATACAGCTAGTCCCAGATAGAGTAAAGTATGTAATAATCACACAGCTATCACAAAATTATAGTATAGCAAATTAATATAATATGGAGCGTTAAGGTGATTTAATTACGACCATGAAACGGATTCAATGTTTCCCGCTGTTTTTAAGTCTTTTTAATGGTTAAAACCATCGTAAAATCACAGTTAGGTGGAGATACAGGCAAGGAAATATAATCGTTTCGTCCAATGTCATTTTCTAGGAAATGCTGGTGACTCGCTAAGTGGTCACAGAGGCTACGCTTTCTCCACTTATGATCGAGACAATGACGGCTGGTCTGGTAACTGTGCTGCACGCTTTAAGGGGGCCTGGTGGTTCACTTCCTGCCATCCTTCCAACCTGAACGGCCTCTATCATCGCGGAAGCCACTCTTCATTTGCTGATGGTGTGAACTGGTATCACTGGAAGGGATATAACTACTCCGCTAAACGAGCTGAAATGAAACTCAAACCAGTCAACTTCTAACCTAGCAAACAGCGGTTGTCAGTGCTTATATCTGCTTGATTCGAGATGGTCGTTTAAATAACTTAGCTGTATAACACATTTTGTTAGACTGTTGCTGAAATGATAAATTAAGCAAAACAAACTATTTTCACAGATTTGATGGAACTGAAAGTATAAAATAAAAGATGTTGCAATTGGCTTTCGCAATTTACGATATTGTTTCTCATTTATACTAACTGCCTTCTGTCCTATTAGTCTTTCTCCTACCGATTCACTGAACTTTATGGTTTTTTAAATACTTCTCCTATTCTTGCTTTATATATCCGTTATGGCTCAGTCAATTCCAAGGATGCCCATCCCCGCCAGGCATTTGTCAATTCTTCTAGAAACAGTTATCATTCTTCCTTTGTCAATATTTCACTTTAAAGTATGCCTATTTTGATAACTATTGATATTTTTATAAAGAATATTTTTAATACACATGCTTTAAAAAGATACGTGTAGTTTTCGCTTCATCACCACCCTACCACAATATATTTGTTGCGTCCGTCTAAGGAACTGCTTCCCGCGATCCCGTCAATGTGATCAGTTCGCACATGGAGGAAAAACAATGAATGCATCGTTTAAAAGAAAAGACGCTTTCTTTGTGAGCGAATGGTTGAGGCAGAGAAAAACTCTGCGAGATATTTGAAAGCTATAATATAAACTTTGTGTTTTGTATGATCAATGCGACGACGTTGCCGAAACGGTTCCGTCGTGATGACAAAATAATCATGTTTATAACTTCGTCGGTTATTTGTCTGTCATTCACCATTTAAAATACCTTTGAAAAAAAGAAAGGTGTTATTAAAACTCTAGTTTATAGTTCTGTAATTGATATTAATCAGATCGGATAAATCTTTTTTGCAATAGTTATAACTGGCGGCTAGGAGCGGGGATTTCAGATGGGTGTTTCACGCGTTTTGGTCAGATTATTACAGATTTCCTATAAACTAATAGTGGCCTTTGCAGCTTATTTACTGTAAAATGCAATGTTAGTGTTAGCCCGGGGTGGGGCATTCGCCCACTTTTTTATGCCCCACCGTGGGGTTTTTGGATGACCCGCCCGGTCCCACCGTGTGGCATTTGCAGCTTTTCCAAAAAAAAAAAAAACTGACAAATGCCCGGGGGAAGGTGGGATGGGCACGCTTGGAATTGCCTGAACCATTATTGACCAAGCAGAAGGTTAAGATGGCTGGATATTGGCCAAGTTCGTCTGTCCGTTTTTATGGACCGAGTCGAGGCCAATAGACAGCCATCTTGATCGAATAAGCTTGGTATATAAACGATTTTAAAATATTATTATATAGCCAAAATACAACATTTTCTTGGGTAACAACGCGATGAAATTCTGAGCCCGCCAATCAGAACGCAGGATTCGTTTCATCTTGCCTGCTCACGGATTCAGCCATGTAATAATTGAACGCTAAGTTCACGAGTCCACAGCGCAGAGTTCTTTTGACTAACTTGCGCTCTCATATGCGATAGAGGTGTAGAAACGTTTAGCAAGCACATTCCGAACAAAACTAAAGCTTTCAAGAGATTTTTTACCTTACCAAAAAAAGGTAACTGATACAAGCACATGCATTGTAGATCAATCACTCATTGAGCAATGAATTAAGACCTGAAGAGCGAACAAGGAACATTTCAGTTCACCCAAAAGCACTTCAGGTCATTTCAGGCTGTTTTATCGTACAGTTAGCTTCTGTCTATAAATAAATGGTTTATTATGTTTATTAAATCGACATTTCTTTAACATTTCACTCACTGAAGCTATCTTTTCAGCTTTTTCGAAATATCACGTGAACTATCTAAAGAAATATGAAAAACAAACCAGAAAAATATAGCTTTCTGAATTCATTCATGTTGAGATGTGCCCCGCGACCCTTCCGGGTTTGGGGGAGGCAAGGAAATTTGGTAAAAAATGATGATGTCGAACTGCATTGAATCATGAAAATACATGACAGATTTTGTGATAAGAGAGCTTTTTTTCTTCAAAGTCATATCTTATCTAACCAGGGTCCGAAATTAACTTTTTAATACGAGCGCCAACTGGCGATCAAGTATAAATTTTTGGTCGCCAGAGGACAAATTGTGGTCGCCAAAAATTCCCCCTCCCTTTTTTTCAAATAAAAGTTTAAACACCAATAAAAAATGCATGGTATGGACGTTTTTGTGCTTAAAAATTGCAATACTTCCGCTCCCGATACCAGAAAGAAACCGTACGTGTACGAGTGTTCTCATTTTTTCCACAAATTACTTTTTGGAGATATACATGTAAAGCCATCTGATCTAGAACGTAGGAACAGAAAGCTGTCTGCCCATGACTGCACCGGATCATATCAAAACTATTTTCTTCCGATAACTACCACAAAACAATCCACAAAACAACCACGAAACCGGCATAGCCTCCATGTTGCTCGTACCAGGCCACATTTTTTTTGTGCCACATTACTCGTAATGGCGGCTTAGAAACGTTCAACTCCTATTGATAGTAGCTGTTGTGGAGGTATTATTACAGGAAGCTTCGTTTCACTTTTAATTAAAAAATATCAGCAGGACAAAAAGTAAGACACGTGTTGGCAAATAGCTTCGAGGTTTCAATTCTTAGTCAGTTTCTCCGAACGTTTAAGTCCACAATAACAACCAGCTTTACAAGTCGCTAGCTGGCGACCAGCTATGAAATTCTGGTCGCCAGGACTAAATTTTTAGTCGCATTGGCGACCAGGAAGGCGCAATTTCGGACCCTGCTATGGATGTCGAACGAAAAGCCATACAGAAAAAATACTGGCAGTTTCGATTTTCTTTTCTCGAATATCACCAGTGACAACTAGTTGTCAGTTAATTGATGGAACGCGCGAACGTGGATGTACATTGTACAACTGATTTCAATTAATTCTGGTTCGCACAGTTTTTCAGTTTCCATTTTTTATAAATTACATCTATGTGACTCTTTAATAAGAACAAATATAATTTCTATGTGTCACGTGTCAGGATTGTCACACCACGGTGTTTCTTGTACATTGCAGTGCAAGTTCACGTTGAGAATCACGCACGGTGCCCCATTAACAACAAAATTAGTCTTTTTAGGAATGTTGTACTTGACTGTTGTAACTCCTGTTTCCCTGTCTCTCTGAAACGATACCTGAAAAGACAACATGAACACAAACAAGGAATTTCAAGATTTCAAGTCTAAAGAATGAAAATTCAGATCAGGAGGGTATCTAATAACATCTGAAGACTTAACTTCAACGGCTTAAAAACGGCGCGATTATATATTTTCTCCTCGATGTGAATGAAATTTCGGCCTATGATAAACGTTATGCTACCGTTTGAAAACCAAGAGGTAAACTAGCCTGCGCGAACAAGCTCCCTCGATTCGGAAGGGGGCATCGGGGACAGAGGGAAAAAGAACGAGCGCTTGGGCGCGCGTCTCAGTAATTTTATATCTGCATTGAAAAAGTGGACGCGAACGCCATTGAGCAAACGTACTTGTGTAAGAGCGAAAGTTGGACGGGAAGCCTCCTGTTCCCGCCACAGCTTCTGCGTTAAGCAAAGAAATGCTTACTACGCAGAATATTCCAAACAAATTTAAGTTTTCAATTGGACGTAAATTAATTGGAATTTCTCAATAGATGAAAAAAAACTGTCTTGACAGTTTTGACTGCATTGGTGAAAGGCGATGTGAAGAAGAGAAACAGTATTTTAGGTTTTACAGAAAATCCAATTCTTTTTTCACGGCAATACCCAAGGATTTTCATTCAGAAGGAGCTCTAACTGTGTACCTCTTATTAGCCGCCAAAAAAAACTAACACAAAAACAACAACAACAACAAAAAATGTGATCCGTAATTTATAGGATTGGAAGTTACATCGCGGGTAGCAATATATATATCATGTGACTTTCTGTTTGTAGAACAAGATCTTGGTGCCTTACAAACGATTTTACAGAACAAGCAAATAAAAACGCACTACATGATTCTCTAAGTTGAAAAACAAAACTATTTTATCGTTTTGATGGCTTTTTCGTAGATAGGCGCACTTGTAGCTGCATGATTGAAGAAAAAAGAAAGATCTTTTGGTCCGTACACAAGTTACAGAGCGAAAATTTACTAATCACAGATCGCGAGATGACTTAACCAAGGTATAAACAAGTATCAGTTACCTACATGTAACTGTGTACCAACCCACCTCCTTCTGGTCATAAAACCTTGCGTAGTCTCGTTTTCTTTTCTTTGGGTCATGATCGTGTTTAAACGTTTCATAACCAGTCGTTATTTGTTTGCGGCTGTGGCGATAAATCTAAAATCAATATCAACATCGTCAAACAGTATTAACCTTAATAGCCACGTGAAAGAAGTAAGAGTTTGTAACGAAAAAAATTGTGACATTTGAGATTATCAGCCTAGGGTACTTATACAAGGGGAGATGGAAGTAAATGGGATGTGGAGCATAGTGAACATTGAAAAAACTTTGAGTCCTTCCCCGCCTCTCCCTCCGTTCCACGCTCCGTTCCCAGCTACGTTCCCAGCTCCATTCCCCACTCCGTTCCAAGCTTCGTTTCCCGCTCCGTTCTACGCTCCGTTCCCAACTACGTTCCCAGCTGCGTTCCCCGCTCCGTTCCCCGCTCCGTTCCACGCTCCTTTCTCCGCTCCGTTCTACGCTACGTTCCCTGCTCCGTTACCCGCTCCGCTCCCTGTTTTAAGTTCTGTTCATTGTAGACAAAAGAAGACTAAGCTCTATCATCTGATCACTCTTGACAATTATTGAATTAGTAGTACACCATTGATCTCATATAGATGCCCAAGGTTAAGCCAGGTTGTCCGCTAACAGTTCCCAGCAGTATACTAGACTTAACTGCTATACTTAGCAGCTCGTATTTTCGCGAAGGACAAGAACGCGCGAGCAGTCAAACGAAAGGTCTGGAGCGAGGATGAAAACGGAGAGTGAGACAGGAGAAGGACTCTTCCCCTCACCCAGTTGATTTTGAGAAAACTGACAAACTGACGAAAGAACTGACTGTTTTGCACAACCTACTAAAGATTTTTGCTTTCAGCGACTGGAAAACCCAGTTTTAGCACAGGGTCCAGAGGGGTTTCGTGTGAATAAATGAATTACTTATTTAAAGTCTCACCTTGAAAAATCTCTATACCTGTCGCTTAGCACGATTAATTAGCCCAATGGGATCTTTATGAATCTACTGTAAACGATTTCTTCGCTTCTTATCTGACCCAGATCGACTTTGTTGCTCGCCATTTTGAAAATCAATAGCCGCAAGCCATATCCTCGCTGGCGCACGGCACGTCGCCCGAGGGGCGACCGAGGCCTGAAGTGCCGAGTAAAAAAGAGTATTTTATACTGTAAGCCGATCTTGCGAGCCCTCAGTCTCTTGGTTTGCGGTCTGTAACGCGATCAAAAGAACCCATTTTTCAGGATTTTTCAGAGGTTTTCGACGGGTTTTGATGTTCTAACGACAAACACATCTCCTCTGCACCCTGTGGTGTTAGCACTTCAAACGAACGCCGGTCACTTAGGATTCCAAAGATGCAGCACCATCATCCCGGCATTGTGGGGGTATAATCTTGTCAAGTTTAACCCTTAACAATTTCATGGGCTCCACATTGTTCCAGAAGGAGAAGCAGCAGAGAGGTTGGTATTATCAATTTAGTTGATTCAGTACGTGAATAATATAGGCCACAACAGAGAGATCTACTAACATTACTGGAGTTAAAGTTCTGTTAACGGACACCCCCGTGAGCAGCAGTCCACTCTACCTTCTTACCAAACTGCTAGTAACAGCTTACGACTAACGATAGAGTTGCTACAAGTCGACCTCTCATAAGTTCTTAAAAGTGAGCGAAGCGAGCTTCAATGCATGAGGTCGCACAGCGACCGAACGAGCGACAGAAAAAATACTGGACTTTTAGAATGTCTAGATCAGACTAACGAGGATCATTCCTATATAAAATGGCCACTTCCAGTTATGGACCCTGTTCTTGCGTTTTCCAGGAGTGTCCTCTTGCACGAGCTTCAGTGGGATTAATAATATTATTACTTACTGATAATTTAGCTTCTTTCATTCTCAAATACAGTTCATCATCTTCACGTCCCCAACCCCAAAATTTGTTGGAAAGTCCATTGACCTAAAATAAACAAAGAATGATGTTGAAGTCATATATTGCAAATTAAAGTTATTGAAGTTATATCAAATAAACCCGAAAGGTTTTTTTGTTTTTTGTTTTGCAATTGCTTAAATTGCAATAACCATAGCGACCATTATATCTGAACATTTATAATATTTCCTCAGTTCACATCATCTTCACGCTTCATCCCTTTGACGGGTTAAGATCAAAACTCAACAAATTGGCCTCCCCCAATGTATGGGTTTTCATGGTTCAAATGGTAGAGCACTGCAGCGCTAACTCAGAGGCCATGGGTCCGAATCCCGTCGAAGTCCCGAAAATATTTTTCGGTTTATTTGCTTAAACTGCAATAACCACTGTGGCGATCATATCTTCATTTTCTAAAAAAAAACTTAATATTTTGTGATTAACTTGTGGTTACAGAACAATAAATATACTCCAGGGGACACCTTGTTCTAAGTTAAAAATTAATGATAGAAAGAAAAGCCCAGCCAAACATCAGGAGCATTAGACAAGTAGTGAGTGAGAGATCCAAGAAAAATGAAACTAAACATTTTCCAATAGTGTATAAAGCAACAACTCCAACAACGGAATCTTTTCTTTTTGAGTTTACTAATTTTGGCCGTGACAGGGTTAGGGACACTAACTCTGATGGCCCTGACAGTGTGTGCAATAAAGAAAGGTTTTTCTGTATAGCAAACACCTAACCATTTGCCACCAAACAGTAGAAATCAGTCTGGATCTTTGCCTGGAGTATCTTTATGCTGGTAAAATAGAACAAGAATGACCTACCTTTTCAAACTGTGCCACTGACATTAACAGAATTCCTCCCACAAATGTTTTGTAGTGATATTTTGGGTGTAAAAATGGTGCTGATACATGGAAAGGTCCCTTCTCAGGGAATCCATAATATAAGTCTTTGTTGAGTGGAAGTAAATCCACATCATGCATTGCTATGTAGTCACAATTATTCCTGGCTTCCAGAAATCCAACATTTAAAAGAGATGCTCTATTAAATCTGCAAGAGAAAGGTTGTAGCTGATACAAACAAAATGAGAATGACGCTGTCCTCAAGTTAACAGTAGTTTCCCAGGTAAAATAGCAGTCAAAACTAACAAAAACCTCCTTTTAATCTTACTAACACAGCCAACATTCACCCTAACACATTTACTAATTTTAGGGCTGTGCTCTAGCAGAGCGCGGAAGCCCCTGGTGCCTAACTTTTGCCCTCGAGCAACTAGAAAATCTCAGATTTTTCATACAAATCATTTGCTGGGCACCCTAGATTTTACAGTTTCAGAGCACTGCATGGGCTCCCTTCAATTTTCGTTAGAGCACAGCCTTTCATGCAACTTAATTTTCACAGTTTTTGCAATAAAAATTCAAAAAAAAAGTCAATTATAGATGTCACAAGACAAAAAGCAGTGACATGAAATTCAATACCCTACAGCTTCATTTCCCAAGGGTCCATTTGCAGAAACTGATGCCCTTCAGCTAAGACATAGCAAGTGAATATCTTACACTTTGAGACATAGAGATTCTTCATGGTATGAAATTAACCTACCTATGTTTATCAACTTGGTTGACAATAAATATTTTATGTCGTACTTTCTTGGCATTTAAATAATTATGCATGTGAGGAACAAATTCCAGCAATTCCTCAAATCTGTCTCTGTAAGGCACCACCACCCCAAGTTGATGTGGTCCCCAGTTATCATCAGGGTGGGTACTGTCTAAAATGAAAAAAAAAATGTATATTTTTCCTTTTCACTGACCTTTGTTATCATCCCACTTACTGGAGAGAAAAATTTTAAATGACAATTATTGTAAAGGTAGAATTCTGCAAATTTGATCCTGGCAGGATCCTGGCAAATTTTTTCCTGGTAGGAAAATGCCAACGACAGACCTATGTGGAGGAGACTTATCAAACCCTGCTGAACCATAAAACAGTCTTTAATAGTCGAATCGACTGACTGCAATAATGATGATGATGATGATGATGATATTGCAACTTATTATAGACTGCCTGTAGTGTATTTACCACACAAACCCACAGGTCATCCACCCTTATTTATCCTGTCTCAGGTTAGAGAAGTAACTTATTACAGGTATTAATGACTTCTATCTACCTCCATCCAGGCTTTTGATAGGACACCATAAATATGGGTAAATTTTATAGAATTTCCAGGAGGTCACAGTATTAGTCCCCAGAGTGTTTTACTGTACATGTAATTTCTTGTGGATAATCCTTGAGGAAAGGAGTTTTGCTCAAGATGCAGAGTTGATTGGGAGGGGGCAGTTATTTAATGGATGATTTAGTGTTTTTGTTGTTTTTGGCATTTTTTTGAAGGGGAGATTTTTCAGAATTACGTCGAGTCTCCCGCATGGATCCCAAGCGAAAGTTCAATATCAACTTAAGCTTAATTTGTTTCATGATCATCGGTTGCAATTTAATATATAAAACGCTATGTTTACGAAAGTTCTGTTGCAGAGTACTTCAAAAAAAGAGAGAGACGCTGAAATAATGTGCTTTCATCTATCAAAACAAGACTAGCTTACACATGGAACCAGCATAACAGCCAGGCGTCGAAACGACACGTCACCAAGCAAATATATATCATCTTACAACTCTGTAAAGCCATCATTGTAAATTTAGTCTAGTATTTTCAATGAGACCTACCTATTGTAGTGTCTTGCGGAGAATTCGCCTCATCTCTCCGATGTTTTACTGTAACACTGTCCTGATTTTGCGAGTGCGGGAAATCGTGTTCATGTAAAGAACTCGATAATTTAGAGCGCTCAAAATATTGTGAACAATTGCAGTCATTATCACCGAGATATTTCATCGATATCCATATTGTCCCAGCAACTGCAAACGTTAAGTAAAACAGCATCCCTAGGATTACTCCTCGTGGTACAAAAGCCATGGATACCCACTAAGTTACGACTAGTTGGCTCAAATTTAGCCGAATGCAGTGTGTGTTGATACCAGTCTGATCGATCTCAGCTTCTCATGGCAATGTTCCTCTTATACTCCATCGGAGAAGTAATGCATGCCCTTGAAAGCAACATGTCTGTAAGGAGTCCCTGATTGAACTTGCTTTAAACAGAAAATGCTCCTCTGTAGAATATCTTCCGCAATTACCATTAACTGTAGATTTATTATGAATTTTTTTCATCATGACAAATTGTTGTTAAGCCCGCAGTTTAACAGCGGATAAAATCATTGCGCATGAGCAGTGAACTCCACGTGCTTGGGGAAGGAGAGGGAAGGGAAACGTTCTTCGTGAACTACGTTGTGAAAATGGTGTCTTTTATTTGCAATGCGTGTGGACAAACCGTCAGGAAAGCTCAGGTGGAAAAACATTATCAAAACGAGTGCCATGATTGTAATGTTTTGTCCTGTATAGATTGTGGAAAGGACTTTCATGGTGACGAGTATACTGGCCATACTTCTTGCATCTCGGAGGCAGAGAAGTATCAAGGAAAATTGTATAGACCAAAAGATAAGCAGAACAAAGGCGAACACAAGCAGCAGGAATGGCTTAAGGTGATAAAAAGCTATAGAACTTTGGTCATTAAATAAGGAAGCCAAATTTGCATTGTAGTTTTTAAGGCAGAAGCGTCGCGCCACTTTTTTTTCTCGAATTTCGCAGGGGAGCGCGCTCCCTTTGGTCACACATGCGATCCAAATAGAGATGACGGGGGACGAGTCAGGGGAATCAGGCACAAATCACTCGAGGATCCCATACAGACATGTATTTCAATGTGTTTACGAGGTTAATGCTGTATTACATTTAACAAAAACTGATCATCCAAACTGTGTCTAATATTTCCTTGAATTGAGCTGTAGAGAAAACTTTCTATTAAATACAAACATTGAAGGGAACTCTTTCAATGTGATCATGTAATACCCATTGCTTTCAATGGGCCATTCCTGAGTTCTTGAGACTCTCACTCTCAAAATGAGTCTAATTGCAAAACCTTTGTTGTGAAAGTGAGTTTTATTTGCATGAGAATAAAAAAATATCTTTATGTCAATGGCTTTGCACTTAGCCTTGCTATGAAACAGAGGCTTAAGGCAACTCAGAAATAGGGTATTCACAAATTATATAATTTATTATTTATGTACCACTTTCACTGCAGTATGTTCTACGTCCCTGCAGGGCTCAACGTTGCGAACTGTGGGGTCGCCAATGCGACCAACTTTTACACAGTGGCGACTAAATTTTCACGCTTGGTGCCAACCTAGCCCCCAAGATAGCTGACTTAATTTCTTCTCTGGGAAAACATACACTAATGATAATCTATTATCCTTCACAAAACTAACAGATAGCCAACAGTTTTTCTAATGCTCTAATGTTTTTCCCAAATGCTCTAATGGTTTGTCCAAACCCTGTAATGATTTGTCTAAACGCTTTAAAGATTTCTTCTAACAATCTAACGGATTGTTCTTAAGATCTAATGGTTGGTCCGTCTAACATTTGACTTTTACCTGAAAGAGGATTGTGAAAATCACTAGCGATGAATTCGATGGAAGTCTTATTGACTTTCGGGCAAATCAATCAATTCTGAACAGGTCGTCCTGTGTTTCTCTGGGAATGACTTCTAGTGCATTGATCAAAAACAATTTCTTTACGTCGAACATGTATCTCGAATGCGGACTCGATAACAGAATCGAGAACGAATGGCGCTTTCTTCTGAAGCTTCTTGTAAACAACTTTATGCAAATTTCTGTTGAGCATGCGACCCAAATAAAAGCTCTGCCATATTTTATTGACTTCTAATGAAGTACCGTTGAAGTCATGCTGTTTGTCGAACAGACTTGTCACGAAATCAACTTCTTTGTGCGAAAACATTAGCGACATTTCCTCTTTCTGGAGACTTTCGATCATGTGCTAGGCAACGAAATAGATCAAGTTTTACCGATGTTCATTTCTGAACATGCAAATACATGGGACGCAAAACAAATGTTTGCAGATTTTGTTCTTTAACAACCCAAATAATTTTTCTTTGTGATTCCTATTTAGTCTGTTTTTCTAAATGCGTATTCCATTTCTTGAACCTTAAGCTTGAATACCTGTTTGGGTAGATTTATGCTTGAGTGCAGGCTAATTTTCCCGAACACTGGTTGGTAATCGAGCCTCGAGCAAAAACCGTTCATAAAGCATTCCTTTTCTGTTAAGGCTAAGTAAAATATGTTAAGTTTATTGTATCCCATTAATTCTTAAATATAATTTTTGGTGACTAGAATACTTGTTCTGGCGACCAAAAATGAAAACTTGGGGGCCAGCTGGCCCTG